AATGCTAACACCCTTTGCCTTCCATGTACTCCTAATTGGTTGCAATAATCTATCAATATTTGCCTTTTCTTTTTGAAGTAGAGTGGTTCTCAATAGATTATAACCCGGAGGCAAATAACCTGACAGAGGATTATTTGCAGCATAGTTGTATGAACTCACATAATACGGGTTTCTTGCTAGATGAAACGGCAATCCTGCGGAATAAAACATCTTAGCAATCTCTGAGTGCAATTGTTCCCGAACCTCATTATTAAATGCCTTCCCAATGGCACCCCCACTTGCCTTTCTTTTCTTTGGTACATAAGCCTCCTAAGTGAGACTAGTAGTACCACCCAATGATGCACTAGACGGCGGCAAAGGAACTTTTTTTGGTTTAGAATTTTTAATTCTCAATTCGGCTTCTTCAATTGCTTTTTGCATTTCTGCAATATTCTGATATGTGACTTTTGGACATATACGAATACCCATACCAGTGTTCTGCAACAAGTGGGCTTTAACTCTTGTATAAGACCCCCTGAATTCGTTATTACAAAAGTGGCATTTGAATAAAAAATTTCCTCCTCCACCACCAATTTTTTCTAATTGTGTGACATAGTTCCAAAGTGGTTTGTTATCATCTTGTTCGAATTGAGGAGTACAACTAGCAACTGATGTAGACAATGACATGTCTAATTCCCTAGACATAAAAAGAAAAGAAAAAAAATCCATACTTACAGCAGTCAGCAAAGAAAGAACAGTCAGCAAAGAAAAAATAAATTCCTATTTGCTACAGATTCATAAGTCATATGCAATAGCTGAAATTAAATCAAAGATGAAATCTAATTCATTTACAGGTCAATAAGTCACGACTCACACAAGCTAAAATTTAAAGCAAGAATAAAGACAACAGAGAAGAAGAAGAAGAAGCAGAAGAAAGAAATTAGGAAAGAAATTAAGGTCTGTAAAAAGGGAAAAATACCAGAAAAGAAGAAGACGGGTTTGTGAACTGGGGTTAGTGGAGGGGGGGGGGGGGGGGGGGGAGGAAAGAGAGAAAAGAAAAAGAAAGAATTTGGGGTTTTGAAAAAGGAAAACAAAAAACAAAAAATAAAAAATAGATGAAGAAGAAAGAAATTGGGGTTAGTGAAAAACGGGGAAAAAAAAAAACAAAGGAGAGAGAAAAGAAAAAGAAAGAAACTGGGGTTTTGAAAAAGGAAAACGAAAAAAAAACAAAAAAAAAAATAGATGAAGAAGAAAGAAAGAATCTGGGTTTGTGAAAAAGGAAAAAGAAAAAAAAAATGAAGAAGAAAGAAAGAAACTAGGGTTTGTGAAGAAAAAGAAAGAAAAGAGGAAGGAGGAGGAAGAAAAGAGAGGAGAGAGAGAGAGAGAGAGAGAGAGAGAGAGAGAGAGACTGACCTAGAGGCTGGAAGGAGTCGCTTTGATCTGCAGCAGGAAGTTGCAGAGCTTCGTCGTCAGTTTGAGAGAGCACAACCCCCGTCCTTTGAATCTGATCTTGTAATAGTGTAATGACTGCCTTAAATATCTATCTCTTTTGTTTAAAATTACATATTAACCTTGAAAGTTTAAAATTATTATGTTCTGACCACATAAGTAAATAACTTTATATATTTGTACTTTAACCCAACTTTCTTTTAAAAATTATCTTTTAAACCCCCAAAAATAAGACACGCGTGTCGGACACACACCCTGGCGTGTCGGACGCGTGTCCGTGCCGTATTCGTGCCGTGTCCAATCCGTGTCCGAAAATTTTAAAAAAATAAAAAATTCCAGACACGCTTTTTGCCGTGTCCGACACGTCGTGCCGTGTCCGACGCGTGTCCGTGTCCGACACGGATTCTTTGCCTATTTCGGAGTGTCCGTGCTTCCTAGGTTGTGGTCAACTGTTGTTGTATGTGCAAGGGAGACGAGGAAACGGTAAATCATCTTCTTTTACATTGTCCAGTGGCTCGGGATTGTTGGGTTTGATGTTTGGTCCGTTTGGAGTTCAGTGGGTTATGCCTAAATCTGCTAGAGGCTTGATTGAGGTCTGGAGAGGCTGTTTAATGGGGGCTCATGTTCGGGATTTCCAGAGGATCACGCCTTTGTGCGTTTGGTGGTGTTTATGGCTTGAATGAAATATGAAATACTTTGAAGGGAAGGAGACTTCTATTGGTGTGCTGAAATTCTCCATTATTAGCTCTATTTTTTGTTGGGCTCTTGGGAGATATTGTAAATCCTTTCATAAGATAGTGGACTGTATTGGCTCTTTGAAAAATTAGAGGCCTTATTTGGTCTTACGTAGCTTTTGAGGGATGTGTTCACCTTTTGAACGCTTCTTTATATACAATCTTACTTATCAAAAAAAAAAAAAAAAAACTATACAAGAGGTTGTGATTGTTGTTTGTTTGTACTTTTGTTGTTTTTTTGGTGACTAGAGAGGTGTCCGCACCCTTTCGGTGAGACTTTTCCCTCAAAATATGTGGAATGCCCTAATGCGATGTGTCAAATTTAATCCATGAAAAATTCCCGTGGGGTTGGCCTCAAGGGAGGAGAATCAAAATCAAGACCTCAACCTTATAGGCCATGTTACCTAGACTTGTTGTTGCTGGCCAGAGTGTCTGTGTCGGCACGAACACGGACACTGGCTCTGGGTTGGACTCCTTATCTTTACTTCGGACACGGCTGATGACAAAAATACACAAACGAGTGTATGGGTTGATGCTTGTCAAGGATTACAAATTTTTTTCATGTTTTTTTTGTTGAATTGGCTTCCATTCGCAATGTTAGGAAGCTTTGTGATTCGAAGATGGCGTCTGGTTGGAAAACAACTTTGAAAGGTTGAAGATGACGGTCTGCCTTTCATGTGCTATCAATGCCCAATTTATTTGTAATTGCCGAGCATGAAAACATACATGTGTTGTGGGTTACAGTTGTAATCCCCTATGTATATATAACATATTTAACCTTGGGTTACCAACTTACGCATAATCTGTAATATATATATATATATATATATATATATATTATAAGTGATATATAGTTTGGCTTTCTGGATGGTGGAGTACAGTTTTACAACATATTAGTTTACAGTTGTAGTACAAATAAAAGGAGTGGATGGTGGAGTACAGCTGTACAACATATTAATTTACCTTTCTTTACTTTTTATTATTTTTTAAGATAAGACGTGACAAATGGAAGTCCTCTCTAACTCCTTTTTATTTAAAATTGTTCATTACTCAATTACAGAGTACTTAAAATAATTTAAATATCTGGCTATTACTTTAAAGACTTACGAGTATTATTATTTAAAGCTATTTTTTTAACAAACTTTTTGCTAAGAAGGACAAAAGCCTTTAATAATAAGCATGTATATAGCTGCATATCCTTTGTCCATGGAGATGTCCAAGTTCTCGTGTCCAACTTTTGGACACTATTTAGTCGAATCCCCAAATCCGACCTCAACACATGCCCGTGTCCGAGTCCAGGTAACATGGCTTATAGGTGTAGTTCTTAACCAACTCTCCCATCCTCTTGCGGTTAGCTTGTGGATGTGTTATAATAAATAAGGGGTTATTGTGTTATTCATCCTCGATTTTAAAATAAGTCATAGGAAAATAATAAAATAAAAAACTAGACAGGGACCTAGATTTTATAGGCAAGCAAATGTTCCCCAAGCATTGGCAATTTGGCATTCACTAATCAAATTCCGGCTTCTCAGATGTACCCTATTGGAAAAGTGATTCAAGCTTTGTGGATGGCATTTATTGAACACTTCGTATGAACATACTCCATGTAAAAGTAACTTACATATGCACAGATTAGTGTCCAGATCTAATGACCTTACATACACATAATTCAAATGGCACTGAGCCTTATGAGACCAAAATTAAATTACCATGGAAATCATGAAAATAAAAAACTGTGAAGCCTCTAGATATACACTACTAATCGTTGACCTTCCAACCCCAAAACTTCTACTAAGCCTCCTTAAAAGATTAATCATAAGCAAAAGCAGAGAGCTAAATAAAAAGAGTAATAGGACAGCCCTAGCAAGTGGCAAGAGTTGCGTTAAATCTTTCCTTGCAAAGAGCATTTGACAAAAAATGGAAGAAGGGATTCTCGTAGCGGCAATATGTTTGATGACTTGATGTCCTCGCTCGTAGTGTGGATCAGTAGATGATAGAGGGTACTCAGGAGTTTGACGTAAAAATCAGCTTGGATACCCTTTAAAAAGGGGAAGAGTAGGCTGAGAATGCAACAAAGTCATTCCTAGTTTTACGGAAGTGAAGAACTCAAGAAATGAAAACAAGACAAAATTACTGCTTTTAAGATAAATATAGAAAGGGAGTAGCAATTTGCATATCTATCTTGTAAGCCAAAGAAATGCCTTAACCAACAACGCTTCTCCTAGTTTCCCTAAGCCAGGTGGGAGGGCCTTCCCTGTCCCCCTAGCCTTACCATCTCCATAATAGGTTGGTTCTTTTGCTCTTGGATTTTGGAAGGGAATAATTTTATTCCCATCGGTCACCTATCCTCTTGGGGTATTAGAATTGATTTCTTAGTGTTGGTGTGTATATGTGCTTGTCACTTAACCTTGTCTGAGATATATATTTTTTTTCCCTTTTCAGTGTGTGACTAGGATCTTTTACTCCATATACTCAAAGGTTGTGATTGGTTAGCCAAGGGTATCCAAATATAGTGCTTGTTGTAGACCTTAAGAGTATAGAGTTAAACTGGATATCTTCTTTCTGGTACAAATTATAACTTGCCCACCGAAAAGATTGGCCTCCTTGCTATGAAAACCTAGATAGAGATTCAAACATAAATGTTCAAATTTCTCAATTCAGCGCCATGGATTCCCTAATAATGAAAAAAGTCGATGATAAATTAACAAGCAAACAGAAAGATTTACTCTTCTATGTGAGTTGATCTTTTCACTTCTCACATCTCTTTTCCCCACAATTCAAATAGCCTTAATAATATGTATTAACCATACAGAATTTCAGAATGACTAGTTGACGTACCTGTAAGAGTAATAGTGGGATCAAAATAACCTTCCAATCCAAGAGTGAAAATATTTGGGATTCTTTGGTTTTTACCAAAAACTCCACCAGTTATAATACCAAAGTCGAATAGTACTGGGTTGTAATCCTGAGTTTCATCATAACATAAAATCATTTTAAACTCTAATAACTTTTTCTCCAGTATACTGAGTATGTGGACACCAAATCTAACCTGATCAAGCATTATATGTGGAGGACCAAAATTGCGAACCAGGTATGGCGGTTCCACACCATGTAAAAACTCAAGCAGACGAGCAAGATCAATTGCCACCTTAACTCTATGGAGCCAGGAAAAGTGATCTAGTAATGCCAAGAAGGAAAAAAACCAGTTTAGTATAAAACAAAATAATCTAAATTAAAGAACTGTGTATTAATTACCAACTATGTTGCTACATCTGATGGGAACTACACTCGGCAGTACGTCCAAATGACGAAGAAAATTTATTACTCAAAAGAAGAATACTTTTGATACTCCAAGAAAAAAATTACAAAAATAAATATTATTTAGTAAGGATAAATTCCAAAAACTAATTTTACCAATTCAACGAGTTAGGACCAGGTTTAAGATTCAACATGTGTTCTGGATACTGGATAGCATGCCAGAGTAGAAAATGTAAATGTTGTCACAGATTACTAATATGACAAACAACATAATCTGTTTGGTGTTGCAATTATTATTTTTACTTTGAATGCGTTCTTTTGCCCTCTATCTATACTGAAAAAATGATGTATGATTAGAAAATTTTAGTTGTAATAGATTAATCAAATGGAGAATGCAGTAATACCTTTAGCAATGAGGTTGTGAACTGTATCCAAAGGTTTTAGGTCATAAACAACACCCAATAGAGTATCTTCACAGCAATATCCCAACAGTTTTGCCAGATTTGGATGATGGCGGACACTTGGCTCCATTAGAAAGATGCATTCCTTCTGGGAAGATGGAAACACACATCATTGAACAATGACAAGAACGACATCTATAACCTTCAAATTTCAAAACTGAGATTTCACACACACTAAATTAACGAAACACACATCATTGAACAATGACATGAACATCTATGACATTCAAATTTCATGTTTGAGATTTCACAAACACCAAAAACAAAGAAAACCCGCATCATAGAACAAGGACAAGAACAACATCTATAACCTTCAAATTTCAAGATTGAGATTTCACAAACACTAAACAAACGAATAGTATAGTTACTACCATCAATTGGGAACGGTGTTCATCCCGGCCAACAGGAAAATCTCCTACATCTTCCCAAATCTTCAGAGTCACATCCTGACCTTGCTGAGTTTTTCCTCGATACACTTTGCCGAATTGGGTTTCTCCAAACAGGTTTGTTCCACTAAAATTATCGGTAAAATCTTTTAACTCCCCAGGGGAGTACTTTCTGAGATTCAACCCTTCGAGGGTATCCATAGAGGACCTAACTTATGCAATTAAAGGAAAAAATTAGATGAAGGTGGAGAAGAAGCGATGGATAGACACAATCAAAGATGATGTATTAGTTATATAATTTAAGAAAATATTTAATTTAAAACATAGCATTAGGGATAGGTTTTCCTTCTCTCTCTAGCTGCTACTCCGTATTAAATTAGATGCTGTTCGCAAAACCCACAGCGAGGGTGGAGGTGTGGTGAACAACAATTGGGCTGGGTCTCTGAAAAACCGGTCCGTTTCAATTTTCATGTCATAAATTGGTTCGATGTGGTCGAATTAATTTCTTCTGAAGTAAACCCATAAAGTAGAAGACTCCTCGTTTGATATTGTTGCGACTAAAATTTAAGCGATAATATTTAGATCTTCGTTAATAAAAATTTACAATATTTTTATTTTTTTTATGTGATTGAATAAAAATAAAATACCTCATTTTTTATTAAATAAATCAAAAAAATAAAGAAATGAAAAATAAATTGAATCCTATCAAATGAGATCGGGTAAAAAGAGTTCAGTTATTTTTTGTTCAACCGATCCAAGTTGCAAAATGCAAACTGCAGGAAAAAATGCTAACTTCATTCGGGTATGATCTAGATTATTTTCTCTTTCTTTATTATTAATTTTTTTTGGACCACATAAGATATTGTAGATCCCTACTAGTAAGGATTCAAGTATTGTCCAAATTTAAATAAGATCTATTTTTTATTTTATTTATTTATTTTTTCAAAATTCACAAATATACTGTGAATTCTAATTAACAACACCAATTTTAGGAGATGAATTATTTTTTCAAATAACTTTTAGTTGTACTAGAAGTCTACTTTAACTTTTTTTTCGAAAAAGTATATTAAATCTATTAAATAGAGAACAACTAAATAATTCTCTCTCTAGTCAAATCCAACTTCTCAACCAACTTCGTATCAATAACCCATACCATATGGTGAATAAATAGGATCTCACCCCCTTGTACACTACACTCCCTTCATATAAAGTGGAAGGTGTTATAAAAATAAGGCTACGATATATATAATTGTTGAAAATTGAGAAGTCAGAACAATTCTATAGACGGATTCTAAAATAATTCAAAAGAATATCGGATATACTTGCCACTTGAATTTTTTTTTAAATCTATGTACAAAGTTTTGGAAAAAATTTATAATTGAATTTTGAGATCTTTTAAAAAAATATTTACATGCCACTAGAAAACTTCGAAGAATTTTATGCAAATTTAGAGTTTTATAGAGGCATGCAAATCTCCCATTTTTTAAAAGAAAACAATGGTCAGGAAGGAAGGGAATAGACCGATTCCTTGATGAATTTGAATCTCACTGGTGAGGCTAAAATTTCATTACAAATTGAATATGAATTTGAATCTCCAATCGGTGAAGCTAAATATCCGTTGCTTCAACAAGTTCAGATTGAAAGCTTGCAAAAGATAAAATATGCATCATCAACACATAATGATGCAAAAAGATTTTACATAATTGAATAAATCAAATTTCCTAGTAAAAAAAAAAAAAAAAAAAAAAAAAAAAAAAAAAAGGCCTGAACTCAACTGGAGCTAGGTTGATGCCAGTGTTGAGGTATTGAGCCCAAAGTGCCAAAACATGAATCGAGGACATGAGTAGACTTGTAGAATATCCAACTAATTAAGAACAACCGCTTTTAAGTTGATGCCAATGTTCAACTGGAGCTAGGTTGATGCCAATATTCCATGCACCCATTTGGACATTTATTCAAACTTGTTGCGGCTTCCACACTCTTCCCTCTCATAGAACAGCCTGGTGGCGTGGGCTGCCCGCCATTTGAAAGGGAAGGCATCTGATTGTAGAGTTCATGTTTCACGATTGACACTCACATCTCTTGTTTACAATATATGTGCCGAACGAAATTGTAGGGTATTGAAGAAGAGAAGTAAATAGCAAACACAATTCTATACAAAATTCTTGAATCAATTCGACTCAAATTGATGGCGGATCCTCCACATGATTCCCCCATCAACAGACGCAGCATCGTATGTGAATGGGCACCCAACAAGAAAGTCAAAAGGGTTAAATTATATCCCGACAAATATGACAACGAACGGATCTCCTCTGATCTCACACAAAATGATCTCATCTGATCTCTCGCACAAGCGGCGGATACATGCTTACCAAATATTTGCTAAATACTTCCCTCAAAACCAATAAACACCACCTCTGTAAAGAAAACAGCTGCAACAATTATCCATTCCGAATCTGAAACATCTCCCGAAATAATAAAACTAAGCAGACCAATCTGGATGAACTTGTCCGAACAACACCACACCCACTGTATCAGAAAATTCCAGCTTACGAGTGCCAAGAAATCTAAATATGCGTATTTATGGCAGTATCAAAAACCTTGTGTGATATCATTAGGTAGCCTGAAATGAATGGAGTCTATAACAATCTTGATGATAGAATTAGCTTGTGTATCAGCTCTCAAACTGCCTTTTATTGAAAAAAGCAAGCTTATAAAGAGTATACTTTGAAGATATACCTTTATACGAATCTGCAGCCCAAGAAATGAAGGGCTTCCAAGAGGCAATACCAATCTGCAGCCCACATTTTTGTCAAATACAATACCAAATTCTAAAGGAAAAGGAACAAAAGGTCGAGATCAGAGCATAAACATGGCATTAATTAAAGATTTAGGTTTTTTGGAATTGATACTAGCATAAACAATTACCAGATTTCACATTAACCATCACCAGACGCAAATACGATATGAATATCAGTCAGAATGCACATAATACGTGGAACGAAAAATTAGATGAAAAAAAAAGTAAAGGTAACATGCTTGGTTGTTACAGTGAACATCAGAGTTTTCCAGAGTCAGGAAATTAGCTTGAAGAACAGTAAACTGAATCTTCCACCTGTACAGAGCACCTAGAAGCATCAGATTAAAAACCCACATCACCATGATGATGAACAGCATATAGATCCCCCAAAATTTGAACAATTTCCTTCATTGTTGGGCGGATTATCCTTTTTTCGTCCCCTATGGGAAGGTGTAACATTTCGTCTTGCACACAGCGCATCGCTAGCTCGGTAATTATACATCGGTCACTCTGATTGAACCCGAAATCTTTTTCAAGGCTTTCATGTACAAGAGAAAACTTTGAGGGACTGATTTCTTCCATTTCTGCTTTCTGCATTCATCCTTTGCCCACTTGTGCACAAGAACTGGACGTCCATTTTCCTCCTCCAATAAACTCTTTTGGATATGAGTTCCAGAAGTAAAGTACCAAATGAAAAGACGTCTTTTTTTGTCATAAATCTACCTGTTGCATGACATTTCCATTACGAAACTAACGTCGAAATTTAAGTTGCAAAAATAAATTAAGGTAAAAAAATTCAACCTTAACTCAACTTAACTATTATATAGGACAAACTGAATTAATCAGGACCAAAAAGTCTAAAGTCTATCGCAAAGTGGAATCAGACTGAAAATTGATGCATACGGTATATTGCGCTGACCTCCCCTCTAATTGGGTTTATTACACTTACCTCCCGTGTTAGGAATTATTATAGTATCTACCTTCTAATTACAAGTCTGTAACAAACAACCCCTGCCACATCAGCATCGATCATCTCTAGCCGTTAATGAATTTGACTAGAGTGAGGTAAGTGTAATTTACCCGAGTAGAATAAAATTACAGCCCTCGCATAAATTATTGAAGTAATACTTCAACCTTTTGAAGTAACCAATTTAGTGGAATACCCTGGTAGATCATCCTCATTAAGGGTACTTAAGAGAGAGTTTCCCAGCTATTGGAGCTTTAAAAGTTCCCATGAGTCTTTACATGAATTTAGGAGAAGGAAAATTTTCCAGAGTAGAAGACCAATGTAGCATATGCAAAATATCAGATTAAAAAATCAGGAATTGAAAGGTGACAGTCAACAAATTCATGTGGGATCACATGATGTTATCTCATTAAAAGGTGTATTGGGCATTTTGGCCAATTTTTTCCCAGTAACATGACTGAAATTTTCACTTTTAAAGTAATTTTCGAAAGAAAGAGAAGGATAAAAGTGCCTCCATGATATACATTGCACGCTGTGGGATAAATAGTTTTTTGTCGACTTCGAGCCCGTCTCAATGCCATAATTCTGTCATTAGTATCGCTCACAAAAATGTTTCCTGTTCTACCCCTTCAATGCACCATATTTACTTAACACAACCCCATCTGGATCTATCTTGAGAGAGAGAGGGAGGGCTGTAGGTGCAAAATTTCGCTCAACCAATAATGATTAAGAAAAATAAAACAACTCACTCAATCAATAGTAAAAATAAACAAGAACAATATATCTCTAAGCGTAGAATTGCTTGATCCCTTTATTGGAGGTCTAAGCCTCTATTTATATACAAAAGATTGTAAAATTATGGTAGAACTCGCGTTGCTTGCCCTCCAATTCTTTCTATATAAACATTCTTTACTAATAGAGTTCTTTCCGTTGTCTAATTTTCCATACATAAAACTTGCCTTGTACAGAACTTCCTATCTCAGAATTTTCCTTTTACGGTAAATCCTTCAACTGATAGGACTTGTGCATTCTTGAATAACTTGGCTAAACATACTTTGATCTGGCTGGGCTTGAGTAACGGACCGGATGTTAAATATTAACAAGTTGGGCCGATGACCTCTTGATTCGGCCTTGATGGAGGTTGGAGGACAAATAACAATGGTCTTGGACTAAAAATACCCTCAATTTGGGCTTGAGCATGATGGGCCTTATATGTCCTTGGAGTGTAGATATGTGTAGTGATGACGTGTGTGCTTTTTATTGGAGGGCGTTTTTTTTTCCCTCCACACTTTGTCCCAAATTTCATTTTTAATTGAGTGACGGCTCCCATTAAAGAGGGAATTGAAACCGGTTTTTTACTTTGCTTCAGAAACGGTTCGAGGTCTTTCATTATTACTCCGTCATACAAGATTCTGCAAGAGTTACATTCGCCCTTGCTGCCCTCCTGCGTTCTTCATTCCATTGCCTTGTCAGGTTAGTTTTTTTTTCGCGTCATTCTCTTCAATCTTTCATTATGAGTACTTCATCTACTCCCGAATGCATAGACATTGGGGATTCTGAATCCACACCTTCATCTTCCCCCGTTCGCATTAGGGCTCCCCCTCCTAGGGTTTCTACAGATCGTCTTTCGTTGAATCAATTAGGTACTTTCCCCCTTCCAGCCGAGACATCCACCTCAGGCTCTGATAATGTTCTTACTCATGAAGAGAGGAAAGCAATCATCTCTATTCGCCGC